TAATAAAGAACATTTTCCATTACACACGTAGACCAGGTTATATGGATTACATGTAATTCTAAGCACAATAGATTCATTCAATATTTATTTCACATATTTTTTTCTCACAACTTCGAGCAGATGTCACACAGGTGTTGGCTTATTTCGGAGATAAAACAAATATTAAACAATAATTTTATGGAGGCGCTAAAATAAGTCATAAATTCGCGCTATTCGAGTATTACATAAACCGTTAGAGGACACAACAAGCTAACATGTGTTTTAGTATACCTCTAATGACTTTTGGGCAAATTCTGGAAATTATGAAAATTAGGGAAAAACTAAATTATAAATCCCACCTAAAGGGGATTTACCCAATGCCAAAATATAAAATAACCCATAGAGTAAACACCAAGGACAACAGGTAATACATTGCTGAAAGGGTTAAACTAGTGTTTAAGAGGACGCGAAGGAAAGGAACAGGTAGATAGTAGGAGCAACGTCAACACTACCTGAGAGGGTATAAATATGGTAGACGAAGTAGCAATCATCACTCATTTGGAAGTTACACTTACTACCATCAACATCAACTAAGCAATTACTCAAGTTTGTACAACAATGGCCTGCATTGATTCTGATAAATTCTCTGCCAACGACTTGGCTCTCTTCATTGAAAGCATGGAACAAATCTCTCGTATGGAAAGTTTAAAGAGACAACGTCAACAGAAGAATCGTGCTCGCAATTTAGTAGACACATTGCGCTATTTGGATCAACAGTATACCAGCGAAAGTAGTTCAAACCCTCACCTCCAGCGATGTACCCCAAGACGAATCTATAATGGAAAGTTTTGAAGAAAAATATATTGGTTATAACTCTACAGGTTTGGAAGAAAACCAATACTATGCGGTAGATTATAGCCATGAACTGGATCAACAAGAAGCTTTAGCTTGTCACACCACTCTCTATAGTATGCCTTACGATTGTGTGGCCTCAACTAAACTGGATGATTGTGATTATGAAACATTGGATTTGAGACCGAATGAAGAGGAACAATTAAGCCAGCATCAATACGAGGAACCTAGCCAAGTGATTAAAAGTACTAAAACCAAAAGGAAATTATCACTTTTCGGTTTAGTACGCAAGAAATATAAGAAGTGTTTTTCGAACAAAACAAATAACTGGCATAAGAGTGAATCCTGGACTAAGCTGACCGTACTATGAGTTTGGCATCTTAACTATAAAGGACGAAAACAGCTGTTGGAATTTCTTAAATGAATTGATTTCGTTTAAGAATATTATTTTTAAGTTAATTAGTATTTAATTGTAGATAAAATTAAGTTTTTTTAATTTTAGCAAATAATACTGTGAGTTAAATCAATGAAATTGATTTTAATAAAATTTTTAAAATAAAAATTAAAATTTTCTTTGTGTTTTTGTTTGAAAAAATAATAATTTAGTAAATTTACATTGTTTTGTTAATAGTTTCATTAAAACAATGTAAAATTTCATTGTAGGAATGAAAAATTTACTCTCTAACTTAGAAATCTTGATTACTCTGATTATTTTTTTTGGGGAAGTATCATCAAAAGTTCTTTTGATTTGAAAATTATAAATAAACACGTTTCGATTCGTTTATTAACAATTTCAATCAAAATTTGGAAAACTTTAAACACCTTTAAATCGGTGTCATGGATCCAAACAATTATTATTTCGTTGGCTTTGTGTTACGTAATATCATCAACAATAGATCAAAAGTTAGTGGTTGATATCGCTCGATCTCTCTATATCCAACTGAATTCCAAACTTTTTCAAACGGTTGCAATATTTTACTTAATCGATGCGGTCGAACGAGTTTGAACAAGTTTCAATGTTGGATTCTTAATATCGATTCGATGTCGGTAGGATTACATTTTTCCAACAAGAAGGTTTTATAGATCCATATTATTGTTATTAAATTGTTACCAAGAAGGTCGATTTTTGAAGGGAAATGTGGGTGATTACGAAGTTAGTGTTAAGACCGCAGTATAGTAAGATGAACCTTAATATACCACCTGGTAGCCATACATAAACCACGTATAAACCCATAGATTAGAGATCATTACGTAAGGTTCTTGAGAAATCGTCTCCGTTTACGGCCATATTTGAGAAGTTATAACATCGCGAAGACCATATTATATCTGGAAGAAGGAATAAGGATGGTGTCTTCGTGACGTTATAACCTCTCAAATATAGATACGAAGACCATATTATATCTGGAAGAATGAATAAGGAAGGTGTCTTCGTGATGTTATAACCTCTCAAATATAGATACGAAGACCATATTATATCTGTAAGAAGGAATAAGGAAGGTGTCTTCGTGATATTATAACCTCTCAAATGTCGATACGAAGTCTGTAAAATCTGATGCGAGAATCGAATTCAGCGAAGCTTAATCCATTAGAAAAAGTATACTTTGTTTACACTAGGTTAAAGAATTGTTGGTCTGTGCAATCGTTACTACTACGTTACTACTACTTGACGGGACGTACTATGACGGGGTCAATTTTATGCTAATGAATAGATGATATAACTATCAGGAAGCGGGGTATTTCCAGGACGGGATTTTACAGTTATTACTCTTGATGACCGTCATTTATAATATGCTAAGAACCTTAACCCCTTCACGCACAAAACTAAACTGCTGGACTTTTTATGGATATGACTTTACTTTTTGATGAGAAATGGAAAAAGTGTTTTCGAGGGATATCGCCGGATATTATCATTTTTAGCTTGCAGTGACATTAAATCCTAAATTCACTTACTGTCGCATTAAACTCAAAATTACGATCTAAATCGATAAAAAATGTAAAAAATATCTTGTGACATCGGTGTCCCGTATACGTGAAGGAGTTAATCGATGAAGTATTTAGATTGGTCTTTCAGACGGACGATATTATAATACTACTTAAGGGTCAGGAGCTAAATTATTTATAAAGGAAGGCCGAGGACCGCTATTTATAGACGCCTAATAACCTTAAGCGATAAAGAGTTTGGACTAGTCTGTTAGACAGACGATATTATAATACTTCTTAAAGGTCAGGTTCTAAATTATTTACGCTGTAGGGTCAAGATTCCCTAAATACTGCTTTCGATTGGCCGTAAGCAAGAAGCCTGAATGTCAAACCAACGAAAATCTATTTTTTTTTTTCATAAGAAATGCGAAAATTCCTGTCTGTACTGAAATATAGGGGCCTGTCACAGAATTCTATTCCGATCGAATGTGAAATTCTTAAATTGCAAATAAATTAAATTAAACTTTAAAAAGACCCTAACTTTAAACAAATTTAATTAACTCTTTGAGAGTTTGAAGTGGTTTCATTCCGAAAAAAGTTGAAAGAAGAAAAATAGAAAAAATAATTCCACTTTCGATCAGAAAGGAATTCATCGCACAAAAAGTGTTCGGGCCATTAGCAATACATTATCACTACAACGTGGCTCTCATAACCGAGTAGCTCTTATCTTTAAGCGAATTGATCAAAGTCGGTTATAGGACGCGATAACAATGTATAATGGATATATTGCACAGTTATACACAAACGCAAGATGTGCCAGATCGTATTTCGGAAATTTAAATTGTCGGGAGAGAGAAGAACATGATCAAGTAGAATATTATATTATTATATACAAACTTCTACTGAAATTTATGCTGTACGGCTAAAAACATATAAGAGACAAGTCGGTTTTGGGTAACCCCAAAACTAGCAACCAAACAGAAGTCCGCCTTATCACGGAAAATGTAAAATTAATTTTTTTTGAATATAGCACCAACAGATATTATCATCCGACTGCTCGAAGACAATTAGGGAGATAACAGCTGACTAATCTGAAAATTTATTGAACAACTACTCTTCCATTGGTAAGCTCTACATAACATGGGTGCCGTCATACTCGCAAATTAAAAACATGGACTAAAGAAATTTGAAATAATAAAAATGGCGGGCATGACTACTAAGATCCTTAATAGATGAGAACGAGTCGCCCCCAGAATGAACGATTCACCCTGAATGAAAAAATCCGAGGTTAATATGAAAAGTACATATTAATAGTGGGGACAAAGGTAATGCATGCAGAGAAGACAGTGAAATAATGAATCTGTCATTGCCAAGCTTTCTTCGAAAGTAAATTCAAACATCTTGGGAGCGATGTTATTTCAGACATTATGTCGTTCAGGAAGACTGTTCGAAAAATTATGTTCTAATTACGTTTACAAAACCAAGTTTCTAAGCATTCGACCACAATTCAACAAAGAGCCTGTCTGTATTTCTTTGGATCAGGGCCCAAATTACGGCATACGATATCGATCGAAATCTCAAGTGAAACTAAATGGAGATTTCGATCGATATCGTACAATACAAAAAATTTTGATTATAATAAAAAATTTTAAGATTTTTTAAATATTTTTTTTTAATTTATTTTTAAACAATACATTTGCAATGAAATCTACTATCCTACAGTTTTCCTAGAAGTCGGCTTTAAATACGTCGGTTTTTCCACTGGCTACAATAACAATATTTACGCAAAAATCGTTCAAAAAGTAGAATATTTATTTTATTGTGGTACATAAATTTCACCCAGCCCACTGTGATTAATTTTAAATCTCAACAATTGCTAAATTTTCAAAATTACTTTACGTAAATGAATTTCTTAAATTTGACCTGAATATCAGAGCTTATGTAGCACGTGCTAAAATTTTCTAGGAAAAATAACATTTTAAAGATTTCCAATTTGAAAATCTTCTAAGAAAAGGTCATAAATCCTTAAAACAACTATTCCAATAAGTAAAAATCTTATACCTAACAGGTAGCACCCTTATAAAGAGTTTAATCCACACATGTGGTGTACGTGACCCACAAATTTGGCAATAAGAATAAAATATCTACCTGCTGAACTATATATACTCAGGATAAATTTCTAATTAGCACACATTTGCTATTACGCATCGAAACCTACAACATCGCAACATTTTACTCTCATAATAAAA